AAAACACCAAAGGAATAATAAGGAACCAAAAATAAACAAAGAAAGGTTACTGCTGAATTGAAGAAGATGACTGACAAGTAAACTCTAGAATTTTTGCGTGCACGGTGCGAGAAATTTGCGCTGAAAAACTCAGACAGGCGCGCTGGGGAGCTTTTATAGATTGCGTAAGTGACGTGGCTGCAATGACGATTGAAAATTGAAGCCAGGAAAGTCAGATTTAGTTACGAAAAAAAAACGAACGTGTTGGCCGACGCTAATGAAAATTTAAGTATCATGTACGTTGTTTGTTATCGTATACCAATGTCAGGGCAGAAAGCGGATATACAGTAATTATAACTGTAAACTTTGACTTAAAGTAGGTACTCAGAACTTCCTAATCCGGGGTGGTGGGGAGGGGACTATGCAACATTTCTAAGCAAGCCTTACAAGGTAACACATTGTCATTCCCAGGGGTATTAAAGACAAATTTTTGATGATTAATACAGACGGACTCTCATAATACCTCTTGGTTTTCTGAAAGGAAGTTTTCAATCGGATAATTTTAAATTTTTAAAAACATCAGAAGAAATTTTAACTCCTGAAACGCAGGAAGATCCCCTATCGACACTTCTTTCTGTGGACCCTTCCCCCGGATTCCTCAGCTCAAACTAATAGCGCTTTCAATGGACCAGAACACGAAGCGAAAACATAACGAATGTGCAACGTGCCGCTAAGATCACGAGGCATAGGCCGAAGATTTTGGTATGTGATAAAAGATCCTTCTCCGTGAACTCTCGGGGAAAACCCCGAGACGAGAACAAAGCCTCCGTGACTATTTGGCCCTGTGCCAGGGGGATACCCCTCTGAATCATTGGTTGAGGAGGGAGGGTACCACCCTTTATTTTTCAGGTTTTGTTAAGATGAAAAGAAACTCTTCATCATGCAAAAAGCACAATTTATGACACGTTTCCAATTCCAAGCTAAAACCGTTCAATACCCATACTTTGAGACCGCAGATACCTACCCATATTGTTAAATAGGCGAGTATCGCCTCCCCCCTGACGATTTCTGTTCCAGACGACAAAGAGGTCACACTTTTGAGTGTTTACGTTGGTTTCATTTGCTACGTGACCCCAGAGCAAAGCAAAACATGTTATGCCGTGAGATTTACTCTTGAAGTTTGGTTTGCTACGTGCTGTAAATCCTGCTTGACAATTTTCCAGTTTTTCCAGGAGGAGAAAAATTCTTGTTCTATTTCGTTTTCAAAAATCTCTGAGAGGAAAACTGCGAAAAGCCGATCCTTCTCTTCTCCAAGGGGTTCGCCCTCACCAAACGGCAGATATGTTCCTTAGTGCGCATAAACACCAAATAAGGAACCAGTGGTAAATTAGGATTGCGTATTGGTGAGTCAGTAATGACAGACAAAAGCGATGTGCCTGATTCAGGCAAGGACAGTAAATTCCTTCGCCCGAGAGGAGAGAAAAAGAAAAAGAATAAATTAGCCCACCCTTGTTGGTGAGGTGCGCAAACTCCCCACACCTCTCCCCTCTCCGCTACACTGGTAGTTCCTTTTGAAGGTCAACCTCGCTGAGATTGAAATTTCGCCAATTTTAAAGTCATCTACGGGCTTTTCTCCCAGAGATGAACGTCTCGAGCTTCCTGTGAGGTATAAGACGTAGGTTACGGAGATACATGTGGGAATGAACGGGTCAATCTTGTGACCCGAGCGCTTCCTTATTTGAGCTGGGTTGGGTTATATTTAGCACGTAACAGCTCATATGCCAATCACCCGGCCGCTACGTGATGTGATAACCGAGTATAACTGTGTCCGCGTGCAAAGTGGATCAGTCTCGCCCTTGTCTAAAAAGCAACACGCAAAGAACGTTGAGAGCAGTTAGATTTCGATAATTTCTTGAAAGCTACTGGTCTAAGACATAATGGCGGACTCCGAGTGCGAATGTCAAAGTATTGCTAAACAAACGTCGCCCGATCGCAGAATCCCGACCTTAGACAACGATTTGCGCGTCCGCCGATTTCAACGCGGCGATACGCGGCGAATCCACAACCTTTTCTTGGAGGAGACAAGGTGCCTGATTTGGCCGATGTTTGCACAGACCGTCCGAAGTCCACCAGTGATTTTTTTCCATCTGTTTTTTATGGTAGTTGGGGTGACGCTGGCCAGGTCTTGTATTTTTGCCCTCTTTGGAGTGATCCTGGTCGTCTGTGCTGTCTTTCTATATATTTACCGGTGGTTTTATCAATACTTGACAAGTTCACTGAGAGGCGACTTGGCCAACATCTCACAAGTAAGTGTCTCTCTTTGTAATAATAAACCATTTTGGCTAGCGCCACTTTTTCAAAGGCCCATCAAGGACTTTCCATGATACTATTGGTGGGCCGCGCTGCTACTACATAGTAAACCAAACCAAAACAACTGAAAGCCCACAAAGTGCAACTTGGAAGCCAACACAAGGCAATTAGAAGCCTTTTTGAGGCATTCAAAGGGTTTCCAAAACACTGTAAGCCGGCCGCGCCTAAGGGAAACCAGCACAATGCAAATTAGTCGAAGCCCTTTCAAGTTGTCAATGACACAATTGATTTTCCCCTGTTCTCTCGCTAATCTTTTGCGCATCACCTTAAAATCTGGAATCACTGCTTTCCTGCAGAGAACATGACTAGACTGGCATGGCTGAAATATGAGGTAGAAATGAATGAAATCAGAGAAACACGAGATTCGAGACAGGTCAGATAATTTTCAGGGTGACTTTTGCGTTTAGAAAACGCCGGCCGGGAAGCTATAAAATTGTACCTTTCCCGTTAAATTGTTGAGCTTTTTCGATTTTTGTTTGTTCAAGAAACACTCAAACCGGAAAACAAACCTTATTTTTCTGGAGAACCCGTTTGAAGGATAAAATATCTCAAAGTCAAAACATTTTATTTCATAATTTTAAATTTCGAGTAGTGACAGAAGCCGGCGTTCTCAAACTGTGTTTATATCGAATGCTAAGAATCAACAAAGGAAACCAGGGCAGTCTATTGTAGTTTTGCGTTTCGTGGCTTAATTCTACCTTAGTGATTCATGTAACAGTCGGTTGTACAAGCTATAGAGCTTCCTTAACCCCTTTATCTATTCTTCCCGCAATTCAAAAGGAGCGCATAAGAGAAAACAATATTTCTTCCTCCCTCCCACACGCCTCCCACCCTGTCTTGTTTTAGTGTGTCTGATCTCAATAACGTGATTAGAAGTGATTACGTAACTTGAACGTGATCTTCTCTACAATGTGAAACATACCCAACTGTGACAACAGCCCGGTGAAAAAGTCACGTTTTTACAGTAGCCGAGACATGAAAATGTTATATAAGACAACTCGCTTGTTCTAGGAAATTGTTTCCTTGGCAAACAATGTCCAAAACATCGTTTCTTTCAATAGTGTGTAGGCCTAGCATTCCTAAAATGGTTTGCTTGCGTGATGTTATTTCAAATACCAAACTGTCTCGAGGAGTTTGAAGGGCCATTTTCAATCTCTATACCTCAGATCTCCAAAAATTGGAGAGCAACCAAAAACAATGCAGTTCGGAAAATTCTAGAAAAATAACAGGGGAACTGGTTTCCTTTAGCATTCGCGTGTTTTCGTGAACTTTCGCCGCACAATTTCCGTTTTCTGCGCACGCTAATCCTGTTTGAATCACAATCGATCACTCATAACGACATCGAGAACATTCAGTTTATACATCCGTCGTGGTGATGAAAATTCCTTAGATTACATTAATTCTCTCTACAAAGGACATATCACGAGTCACTTTGCAATTCACGTGGAAAACGTGATTCTCCTCAAAACTCGCACGCACGCTGTCATTGGTTGGACAGAACAGCAACACTTAATAATGCATGTTAAGGAATGTGTCAGACTAAAAATAGATCAGTCGCGGGTAAAACACAACGTGAGGTTACATGTGAGTTTTCATCTTCATCTATAGAGGTGTACTTCACACCACTTTGTGGTTTAGTGTGCCAGGTTTTGTATCAAATTAAAGTTCGAAGACTTTCTAATTTAGTTTTCTTTTTTCAGCTATAAAGAAAACGGGCAAATTTTCCTGTCCAAGTTTGGTGCACTTTGATCGAGCTTATGATATGCTAAACCCCTACCCTTTACCTTGTTCAAAGTTCAAATTTGACAAAGCTTCTTTTATTTCCACTCAGTGATCGTTCCAAAACAAACAACAGCACGTTAGAATGTTTCGCCGCCGATCTTTCTCTCGTGCCCTCTCTAGTATATGTCATCTCGATCTCGTGTACGCAAACGTATAAAAAGGGCGGAATAAAAAAGGGCGGAATTCACGAGGAGTTTTTAAAGGCGCTTTCTTTCTCGTGTACAGCGCTACCGCACCCTTGTCTCGTCCCAGTCCCTTCTCATCTCAAAAACACCTCGCCCGTAGTCCTGGTCAGGAAAAATAGACTCCAAGCTGCCAGTAGCACATAGAAATCTTGCTAAGTTGCGGTCATTTGAGTGGCCACATGCCAGGGTTTTATCCAGATCAGAGTGGAAAGCGTTTGAATTTTGGACATGGAGATTATCTGTGGAATCTCGGAAATGATTGTTTATTAGTTCTGGCTTTTCAAGAATGTTTTGCGGTTTCCCAGTCAGTAAAGCCATTTTCAACATGTTTTCGTTTGTTTTCCTGATTGCAGTATTATCTTTCTAAAGCGAAGTGCACTTTCCTCGTGGCGGAATTCGACAGCTCCATCGTCGGCTTCATCGCCGTTGATCAAAAATCTGAAACTATGGCGATTGTGACGAGAATGTCTGTGGATACTTGCTTCAGGGGAAGACGAAAACTGATTGCCAAAAGACTACTACAGGAGGCATTCAGGTTTTGCCAAGAATGTGGCTACGAAGAGTTAATGGTGGAATTCCCTGGATTAAGCAAGACAAAGATTCACAGATTACGTCACTGTGACGTGAAACCGACAAGGCAAGAGTTCTCTGTCGCACGACAAGGTTGAACGTCACGAAAAGACAATTGCGTAACGTTGTTGCGTGCGACATGATCCTGTGACGTCACAAGGAGAGTTGCGTGATCATTCCTCCAGAGTGCTGTGACGTCACTAGCTTGCCTAACGCTTGGAGAGAATTCCGTTTGAAGAACATCAAAGTAAAACTATAGAGACAGTCGTGTGAACTTATTCCACGAGGTCAATAGTTTATACCTATCGGTTATTGATTATAAACAGCTTTTTAAAGGTTACTCCAAGCTTGGTTACTATTGGGTTTTTAATACTAAACTATACCTAGAACCATTTTCACCACGGCGAAAAAATTACAGTAAACTTCAAAAGAACACTGATCTTACAGTTACGGAGCTTTACACCCTCAAGTGGCAAGCGCGTAAAAATTCATCCAAACAGCACCGATTTTGTCGTGCATTTGATTGGGTGAAGACGGCAATGCCTTCTCTCTAATGACTCTGATTGGTTAACAAATTTTCCCGCGATTTTTCTAAGCCAATCACTAAACGCGTTAATCTCATCGGTTTAGGAAAGCGCACCATGTTAAGGCGACATAAATTAAGCTTGCCTAGTAGATGATACGGCGAACTTTTCTTAAGTTCTGATGAAAAACGAAAAGGCCCATAACATAGCGAAGGCCAAATTTTAA